CAGGAACCACCAGCACGGCACGATACGTAGACGCCCGAGTCCACACACTTGTCACTCTCCGGTTGATCGTGACAAACTTTTTCATGCGCGACACGCTGATGGATGCACGGTTGAGATTGTACGCCGGCACGGGGGTCAGCTGCATGCTCGAAAATATATTATTCGCGCGCCACGTGCTCTGCCCGGCGAGAAAATTCACGAAATCGGTATACGAAGCGTCGTATGTCAGCCCGGGGTTCAGCAACCCACTGGTGTTCACCTGACCCTGCCCCATGTCCCACGGGGTCGCCACGCTCCCTGTATCCGTAGGAATCAACCCGCCGCGATTAGTCGTGGTGCTGGCCGTGGTCATAAACGCCGAGATGATCTGAGCTGGAGACCACGTCGGGTTCTTCTGCACAACGAGCGCGGCAAGCCCCGCAAGGTGAGGTGTAGCCATAGATGTTCCAGAAACCATGCCGAAGTTGGGAGTGGAAGCTTGGGCGAGGGATGGGGTGCGCCAAGGGCCCCAGAGGTTGACGCCCGGGCCGACGACGTCGGGCTTTAAGATGTCGTTGGTGCCGGCCCAGGAGGCCTGCATGGCGGGGTTGACGACGGGGCCGCGCGAGGAGAAGTCGGCGATGACTGGCGCCATGTCGTTGTCGACTGCGTAAGGGGAGGAGATGCGCGCTGTGGGCACTCGCCCTTGCGTTCTGGAGAGGTGGGGGAGAGGTGCGGGGACACGAGAAAAGGAGAGAAGGACACAGTGAGTAAGAGGAGAAGTCGGCGATGACTGGCGCCATGTCGTGTCGGCCGCGTAGGGGGAGGAGATGCGCGCTGTGGGCACTCGCCCTTGCGTTCTGACAAGGGTTGGGGAGGGGTGCGGGGCATGGGGAGAGGAGAGAAGGGCACGGTGAGACGGGGAGAAGTCGGCGATGACTGGCGCCATGTCGTTGTCGACCGCGTAGGGGGAGGAGATGCGCGCCGTTGGCACTCGCCCTGACGCTCTGAAGAGGTGGGGGTGAGGGGAAGAGGAGGTGGGGGAGAGACATGGGGAGAGAGGAGAAAGAGAGAGGGAGAGAGACGGTGAGAAGGGGAGAAGCCGAGAGTCATTGGGGTCATATGATTGTCCCCAAGGGGAGAACTTGGCGGCGAAGCACCTCAGCAGCAAAGAGCAAGCACAATCCAGAGTTATCTCAGAGATCAACCAGGGAGATCAACCAGGGAGATCAACCAGGGAGATCAACCAGGGAGATCAACCAGGGAGATCAACCAGGGAGATCAACCAGGGAGATCAACCAGGGAGATCATCAACCAGGGAGATCAACCAGGGAGATCAACCAGGGAGATCATCAACCAGGGAGATCAACCAGGGAGATCATCAACCAGGGAGATCAACCAGGGAGATCATCAACCAGGGAGATCAACCAGGGAGATCATCAACCAGGGAGATCAACCAGGGAGATCATCAACCAGGGAGATCATCAACCAGGGAGATCATCAACCAGGGAGATCAACCAGGGAGATCAACCAGGGAGATCATCAACCAGGGAGATCATCAACCAAGGAGATCAACCAGGGAGATCATCAACCAGGGAGATCAACCAGGGAGATCATCAACCAGGGAGATCAACCAGGGAGATCATCAACCAGGGAGATCATCAACCAGGGAGAACCAGGGAGATCATCAACCAAGGAGATCAACCAGGGAGATCATCAACCAGGGAGATCAACCAGGGAGATCATCAACCAGGGAGATCAACCAGGGAGATCATCAACCAGGGAGATCATCAACCAGGGAGATCATCAACCAGGGAGATCAACCAGGGAGACTCCCTGGTTGATCTCCCTGGTTGATGATCTCCCTGGTTGATGATCTCCCTGGTTGATGATCTCCCTGGTTGATCTCCCTGGTTGATGATCTCCCTGGTTGATCTCCCTGGTTGATGATCTCCCTGGTTGATCTCCTTGGTTGATGATCTCCCTGGTTCTCCCTGGTTGATGATCTCCCTGGTTGATGATCTCCCTGGTTGATCTCCCTGGTTGATGATCTCCCTGGTTGATCTCCCTGGTTGATGATCTCCCTGGTTGATCTCCTTGGTTGATGATCTCCCTGGTTGATGATCTCCCTGGTTGATCTCCCTGGTTGATCTCCCTGGTTGATGATCTCCCTGGTTGATGATCTCCCTGGTTGATGATCTCCCTGGTTGATCTCCCTGGTTGATGATCTCCCTGGTTGATCTCCCTGGTTGATGATCTCCCTGGTTGATCTCCCTGGTTGATGATCTCCCTGGTTGATCTCCCTGGTTGATGATCTCCCTGGTTGATCTCCCTGGTTGATCTCCCTGGTTGATGATCTCCCTGGTTGATCTCCCTGGTTGATCTCCCTGGTTGATCTCCCTGGTTGATCTCCCTGGTTGATCTCCCTGGTTGATCTCCCTGGTTGATCTCCCTGGTTGATCTCTGAGATAACTCTGGATTGTGCTTGCTCTTTGCTGCTGAGGTGCTTCGCCGCCAAGTTCTCCCCTTGGGGACAATCATATGACCCCAATGACTCTCGGCTTCTCCCCTTCTCACCGTCTCTCTCCCTCTCTCTTTCTCCTCTCTCCCCATGTCTCTCCCCCACCTCCTCTTCCCCTCACCCCCACCTCTTCAGAGCGTCAGGGCGAGTGCCAACGGCGCGCATCTCCTCCCCCTACGCGGTCGACAACGACATGGCGCCAGTCATCGCCGACTTCTCCCCGTCTCACCGTGCCCTTCTCTCCTCTCCCCATGCCCCGCACCCCTCCCCAACCCTTGTCAGAACGCAAGGGCGAGTGCCCACAGCGCGCATCTCCTCCCCCTACGCGGCCGACACGACATGGCGCCAGTCATCGCCGACTTCTCCTCTTACTCACTGTGTCCTTCTCTCCTTTTCTCGTGTCCCCGCACCTCTCCCCCACCTCTCCAGAACGCAAGGGCGAGTGCCCACAGCGCGCATCTCCTCCCCTTACGCAGTCGACAACGACATGGCGCCAGTCATCGCCGACTTCTCCTCGCGCGGCCCCGTCGTCAACCCCGCCATGCAGGCCTCCTGGGCCGGCACCAACGACATCTTAAAGCCCGACGTCGTCGGCCCGGGCGTCAACCTCTGGGGCCCTTGGCGCACCCCATCCCTCGCCCAAGCTTCCACTCCCAACTTCGGCATGGTTTCTGGAACATCTATGGCTACACCTCACCTTGCGGGGCTTGCCGCGCTCGTTGTGCAGAAGAACCCGACGTGGTCTCCAGCTCAGATCATCTCGGCGTTTATGACCACGGCCAGCACCACGACTAATCGCGGCGGGTTGATTCCTACGGATACAGGGAGCGTGGCGACCCCGTGGGACATGGGGCAGGGTCAGGTGAACACCAGTGGGTTGCTGAACCCCGGGCTGACATACGACGCTTCGTATACCGATTTCGTGAATTTTCTCGCCGGGCAGAGCACGTGGCGCGCGAATAATATATTTTCGAGCATGCAGCTGACCCCCGTGCCGGCGTACAATCTCAACCGTGCATCCATCAGCGTGTCGCGCATGAAAAAGTTTGTCACGATCAACCGGAGAGTGACAAGTGTGTGGACTCGGGCGTCTACGTATCGTGCCGTGCTGGTGGTTCCTGATAATGTCGGT